AGTTAGCCCTTGAGGGTTGGAGCATCCTCACCATGAGTGGCTAGACATCCTCTTGGGGCTAAAGTTAGCCCCAAGCATGCTTTCTATATCTTAATCTTGTGTATTATTAAGGGATTGGTGTTGTAATTGATGTTTTGACACTTTAACATATATAGATCTTATTTATTCAATGATTTATGTGGTTTAATACTTTCAATTGGTCATTTCATTCTATCCATATGTCTATGTATGCTAGAATAAATGTTCATGTGCTTATCTCTAGATTTTGTATTGTTGATGCATGTCTATGTGTATTGATGCAATAGATTTAGAGATTGTCAAAACATTATGCTTAAAAGAATACTTTTGTGATTCTCTTGATGGTTCATGCTTACCTCTTGATGGATTGTGCCTCTCCCCTAGTTTATTTTCATGTTAGTAGTGTAGATGTAATGTAGTTGTAGTGTAGTGTTAAATGGTAGGACAATCTATGCTTGTTGTTTGATGATCCAAGCTTGTGAATGCAATTAGTATATGTCTCTATCCTTGTGTTGTATTTGGATTGTGAGCTTAATGAAAGGATTAATAACTTGTTTTAATTTATTGTGCCTTTCCCATGTTGTTTAGACAATATATGCTTCATAGCTTTGATATATTGTGCCTTTCACATGATGTTTAGACAATACATACTTAACTAGTCATCCTTACTTATTGAATCAACCAAATACATACACACCACTATTGCAACCCACTATTTGCCCTTATTAATCACTTGTCAATGATATAGAAATGCATTGCTTGGTGGTGATTTCTAAACCCCAAGACCCTTCTCTCTCTTACTTACTCTTAATTGCACTCTTTTGCTATTACTTAGTTTAATTTAGTTGCTCTTTAATCAACCAACCAACCAATTGTTTGATCACTCGACCTACTAGCCCTAATAGCGATTCCACAATCAACTCCGACATTGCTCAATCCCCATAATCCCTTGGGACGATCCCTACTCGCCCTAGCTATATTTATAGTGAAAAGTAATAGTGACTTTTACAAATGTAAAACTTGACCCTCGCCTAAATTGCATATTCTCAAACGTATGGTAGGACGATGGTCACACCACATGTGTCATTTTCTGATAATGATATAATCATAACTGGGCCGGGCCGGCTATATTTTGATAATTATCCATAAAAAATTACTAAAAATAAGAGTTTTATATAGAATATGATTGATTTTATTAGGTAATTTTTAAATTTTTATAAAAACTATAATTATCCATAAAAAAATAGCTAAAAATAAGAGTTTTATAAAGAATATGATTGGTTTTATTAGGTAAATTAGATTTTCTTTTATTAAAAAACTTGTAATAAATAAATAAATAGGTAATTTGTGTTAGAATTTAATATAAACTCTTTTAAAAACTATTTTTATATGAATTAATAAATATTTTTTATTTTAATAATTCTTGTCTAATTAGATTTACTTTTATTAAAAAAAACCCAAAATAAATAGGTAATTTGTGTTTTAAAAATTCTTTAAAAACCTCTTTTTGTATTAGTTAATAAATAATTTTTAATAATACTTGTCTAATTAGGTTTCCTTTTATTAAAAAACTTATAATAAATTGGTAATTTGTGTTAGAGTTTATAGAAACTCTTTAAATATATCTTTGTTGATAGAGTTTTATTGATAATAAAATAGGTAATTTGTAATAGAGTTTTATTGAAATTATTTTATTTTCTTTAAATATATACTTGTCTAATTAGATTTAATTTTATTAAAATACTCATAATAAAAGCTAATTTGTGGTAGAGTTTTATAAAAATTATTTTATTTTATATATCAATTAATAAATATTTTTTATATTAATGAATCTTGTCTAATTAAATTTTCTTTTATTAAAAATGGATAATAATAAATAGATAAATAGGTTAATTTAAATTTTATTATGTCGATTTTACTGTTTTATAGAGTTTTTTTTTTATTTGTAAAAACTCTTTTCATATCATTTAATAAATATTTTTTTATATAAATAAATAATGAAACTCTTATACATCTAATAATAGTATAGATAAAAACTCTTTTTATATCAATTAATAAATATTTTTTTATATACTCTTGACAGAGCTACTCTTTTTATATCAATTAATAAATATTTTTTTATATAAATAAATAAATACTGAAATTCTCTGGCAGAGATCTGTATTTTACTCTGGAATTCTGGATTTTTAGAATTCTCAATTTCTGTACCCCTTCTTCCTTCCTTCATGCCTCTATTTATAAGTTTCGTGGATGAATAGGATGATGACATGTGTCCTTTTCTGATAATGACATAATCATAATTGGGCCGGGCCGGTTATATTGTGATAATTATCCATAAAAAATAACTAAAAATAAGAGTTTTTGTTTTTTTTTTTTTTTGGTAAAAACTCTTTTCATATCATTTAATAAATATTTTTTTATATATAAATAAATAATGAAACTCTTTACACATTTAATAATAATATAAATAAAAACTCTTTTATATCAATTAATAAATTTTTTTATATATAAATAAATAAATATTGAAATTCTTTGGCTGAGCTACTGTATTTTACTCTGGAATTCTGGATTTCTAGAATTCTCAATTTCTGTACCCCTTCCTCCATGCCTCTATTTATAGGCTTCTTGGATGAATAGGATGATGACATGTATTATTTTCTGATAATGACATAATCATAATTGGGCCGGGCCGGTTATATTGTGATAATTATCCATAAAAAAATAACTAAAAATAATAATTTTATATAGAATGTGATTGATTTTATTAGGTAATTTTTAGAGTTTTATAGAAACTATAATTATTCATAAAAAATAACTAAAAATAAGAGTTTTATATAGAATGTGATTGATTTTATTAGGTAATTTTTAAAGTTTTATAGAAACTATTTTTACAAAAACTATTTTTATATCAATTAATAAATATTTTTTTATATAAATAAATACTGAAATACTGAAATATTGAAACACTGAAACACTTTGCACATTTAATAATAGTAGTATAGATATAGATATATTGAATGGTCTGAATCTAGGAAGCACGAACACTCCAAAATGGGCGAAGAATCCGTGTCTGACACGGACACGCCAAAAAACGTGTCTGGAATTTTTTTTATTTTTTTTAATTTTCGGACACGGCTCGGACACGCCACGGACAGCTCGGACACACTTTTCTGGAATTTTTTTTTTTTTAATTTTTAATGCTGATATGTTATTTATTTATTTTTTTTTAATTTTTAATGCTGATATGTTCTATTTTTTATTTTGTACTACCCTAAAGATGCTGATATATATATATATACTAACCTAAAGATGCCACAATTCACTGTGTCCGTGTCCTAAAGATGCTGATATATATATATACTAACATATCAGTGATATATATATATATATTCCAACCTAAACATATCAGTGTTTTTTTTTTTAAATTATTAATGCTGATATATATATATATAAATACTATTCGTCGTGTCCGTGTCCTAATTTTTTTGGATTTGCCGTGTCGCCGTGTCCGTGTCGTGTCGTATCCGTGTCCTGTATCCGTGTCCGTGCTTCTTAGGTCTGAATCAATTTGGGAAAAGGCATAGGTATTTTAGTCTTTTAAATAATTATTTAGGATTGAATGGATTTTGACAAAGTCAAATAGATAATAATATCTTTTTACATGTAAAAAGTGATCTGACATAACTAAAAAGTAACTTTTGGGATGTGAGTAAAAAACAGACCAACCGTTTAGTTATTTTCAAAAGGCGTTTCAATATGATATTTGTCTAAACTTAAAAAAATGATTTCACATATTATTATTATTATTATTATTAGATCCTTAGCAAAGTCGAATTACCTCGTATACTCAAGAGAAGGTCAAATATTAAAGTCCTAAGTGAGATAAAATATGTATTTTAGCTTACATACAATATATATATATATATATATATATATATATATATATATATATATTGCGAATAATCTTTTGACTTATTAATTTGACAAGAGGCCTCGTACATTTGTCACAATGTTTTGCAATTACCATTGTTGTCACTCCCGAACTCGAATTCATCCCCTTCTCCTTGATAATAGAGAGGTTATATCGTTGAAACTTGAAAACGAGGCTCCTTTGATACCTTTACCATCACTTTGTTGATAACGAATTTGAGATCATGAGACATAATTTATTATTCACATATATTATTATCTATATTGTTAGAATTATGTTCCAAATATCACTCCTAAGATTTTTTTTTTGAGTATATATGTGCATTAAGTTTGAAAAAAAGATTAAAAAATGGTTTCAGATCACTATTTAGTTACAAATTTAATAAGCATGGCAGTTTTAAAATAAAAAATTCCAAAAATAGCTTTTTCTCTTCTAATAATGCCCTAATATATAAGAAGAAAAAAAAGATGTACACTTCAGTCATTTCATATTTAATTATTTTTTTCTCTTTTTTTATCTTTTTTATTCAAATATATAAGGACACTCTACATGCTTGTTTTTTTTCTCGAAACCCTTTTATTTTATTTTTTTAATATTAAAAAATTATTCATGAATGTGACTCATTATTGGATTATATATTTCATCCATTGAGCATTTGATACGTTAACGTGAAATAAATTATAGTCACTTAAGTTACATTATAGTTGTTATGTGTGAATGAGTTTTAAATGCTGAAGATTCGGGCATGGTCAGAAGCCGGCGATAAAAAGTTGACGCTCTTGTGGGTAGAACTGTAACACACACACCTTTATAGGCTGGTTCACTCTAAGAGAATCTTTTTCTATGATCAGATTCGAATCATGTCGTACATGAGTTGGCTCAATAAGTGAAGTCTACTCTTCATCCAATTATCTGTGCAAGCCCACATAACATCTGTTCCTATTTTACCTTTCCACAATATGGTTATTACATATTTTGACATACGATTACATTATTATATATAAACTTAACTAAGCTTACATACTCACACTGAAACTGGAAAATTCAATAATGACCATCCAATGCTTTCGACTTTCTTGTCTTAATATCTTACTCGATCACTAGTTGAAGGATGATGGGTAATAGGAATCACACAAAGGTCTCTTTTCCTACTAATTGCTACACCAAAGGCCTTAGTCATTTCAAGATCCTCTTGTTTCTCTCCTTAACGAAGATTCCAGTCAAACTGATATAATAAATTAGTAAATGGAAGTTCAACATTAGCCATCCCGAACGACATGCCAAGACATATTCTCCTCCCACCACAAAACGGTAGAAATTGAAAATGAGTTCCCGTTATAATCAATTGAATTGTCAAGAAATCTTTCTGGAAGAAAGCTTTCTGGTTCTCTACTAAAGATCCAATTTTTTGGATCTCTACTAATTTGCCCATATATTGACAAGGACTTGGGTTTTCGAATTTAGCAGGTATCTCATTTCCATTAATTCTCACATCTCTCAGCTCTCTTGGAACTAATTAAGGGAAAGGAGGGTGTTATCTCAAAGTTTCTTTGATAACTAACTTTAAGTAATTCAATTCACAAAGATCATCTTCATTAAGAATATTTCCCTTTATATAAAAACATGTCTCACCTCAGCTTGTGCCTTTTCCACAAGTCTTGGGTTTTTCCGCAATTCTAACAATGCCCCAGATTAAAGTTGTACATGATGTCTCAATCCCGCCACTGAAGAATGTCCTGAAAGAGCATTAATATTGAGTCATAAGAATAGAGAATATAGAACAATATCATGAATATCGTGTGCTATTTTGACTCCTATTATGCTCCTGCAACTCCGAGAGCTTGCCCTTAAAAGATGCAATTTTGGGGATTAGCCACTTTTGGTGTTGGTCTAGCATTACATATTGAACACGATGTGGATGTTGGTGTTTGAAGATCTAATGTTTGAAAGTAAAATTTAATTACCATGTAAAAAGGGTTTCAATTTGACTTAGCAAGGGGTACGAATAATTAGTGGAACTTAATTCATTGATATTCATTGAAGCAGAAAGTAAATGTAGTAACTAAGATAACTGACTTGTCGTCTGTCATAGTTAGGGGATCTCCAGGTTTCCCTTCTCCTGAACTTTTAGAAGAACATCTACCAGATCTTCATGATCAGCTTCACCATCACCGGTCTGTGTTGCCACCTAGCTTTATGTTCATCAATGATGTTCGTAAATATCCTATCAAGTTTTTGATGAATCTTCTCAACTCTAGGCCTCAGCCCAGTTTCTCAAAGTAAGCATTTTAACTGAAGGAAAGAAAGCATTTTAACTGAAGGAAAGAAATCAACAACGGTGAAACCTCCTCCTATCTGTATGACTTCCCTGATAAGTGATACGAATTCTTCTTGCCCATGGAATTTCTTCGCCCATTAACCCAAAAGAATAAAGAAGACAGTATATTGTATTTAAGAGACAAAATAGGAGACTCCTCCCCATCAAATGATCTCTTATTTCTCTCGCGCCACAACCCCACCAAATACAAAGGGGAGTGGCCCTCCAAGCATCTCTAACTCGGCTCTCCACAATACACCCTTTCCAAGCCTCAAAAAACTCATCTGTTGGCTCAGGAAACACCCAAGTCACACCAAAAGCAACCAAGAACATAACCCATATATCCCTCACCACACCAAAAGCAACCAAGTTCAACAATAATATCAGTTTACACTACAGTAAACCATAGGTCCATAACAAATAACAAGTCTTGTTATACCTTTTAATAGTATACTCATATCACAGTTTCATAAATCAGTGCAGATTCTACACAAGTGAAATCTTACCTTCAAGGCAAGCTTTAAGACATTATATGCAACAAAGTAATAACCATCCAACAAGGTATGCTTAATTCATCCCTCATTCAGCAAAAACAAGATGGAAAGAAGATTAATAAGATTGAAGTAATTATATATGTGTGTGATCGATACAACACATACATACTTTTCATCTTTTGGTATATAATTCTCATATATGGTAAAAATTCACAAATACATGAAATAATGCATACATTATCAACATTAAGTCATATATGCACATTATCCATAATAAATTAAACTATACCAAAAACAGCAAATAGAAAGAAGAAGGAAAAAATGATGTGTTTGTTTGGAATGAACAGTGCCAAAAACGTTTATGCAATACAGTATTGAAATCATAGGAAGCATAAAAAATGATGCTTTCCTTTTTCTTCACAAAATTGAAAAATGTTTTAAACTTAGGGTTGAAACAGAAAACCAGAAAATGTTTCCGTTAATAAACGCCCCCCAAATTTGTCTCTTTCAATTCGTGAACCAATTCCTAGTACACCCTTTGTCGCTCACTCACTCTCCGTCTCAATTTTCAGTGTTTTCTCTAAAAACACAAACTCTAGCGATCTTATATACCAGGTTTAATAGATGCTAAAATTTGGATTCAAGACCTGCAAGACAAAAACCGGATCACAACTTCGACCTGGACCGAGAGTAAACTCGGGCCATAACTAAACATAAATTTTATCAATTATGTTAGTGAAAAGAGAGAAAGTATAAGCATAAGTGGAGCTATAACATAAAAACTTTCACTTCATTTGGTATGGACTATTTATGGGCCAGATTGCAAAGCCAATATAAGTCAAAAACCGTTATTATACGGTTTGGATTGGTTCACAATTCAATCAATTTGATTCAGTTTTCATTTTATGCTTTCTAAACTGCAAAGAGTTGTAACATTCGTTTTCGTAACCTTCCCGGGAGTGAGAGTGCCTTATCAGAATTTACGCTTTTAGTCTCTTTCAACTTTTTTTTGTTTTTTCTTTATTAAGTTAAAGAAAATGCACCCACCCACAACATGCACCCTGGCAGGAATTGAACACTCAGCCTTTCTTTTGGAGAAGAGAAATCATATCAACCATACTAGAGGCCCGATGGTAAATTTGTTTAGCTGAGAGTATGAACCTTATAGTGTATATTACTTCCTTTTTGGATAATGTAAAAAATAATAATACTTACAAAAAAAAATACATGTACAAGGAGAGCAAGAGAGAGAGGGTCTCACACCGTTGGGGATACACTTCAAATGAGTTGCCGCCATTTCTCTTCAGCCTTGGGTGGAGAAACAATGAAAAAGGAAACAGCGAACAAAGACTGTGAATTGAGAGAGAACTTTGCCCTGTATTTATAGAGAAAATTTAGAAAGACGGTACAAATTGTTGTCATTAGAAAGACAGAACAATGATACAAAGTCGCTAAGAGAAAGTTAAAATAGAATTTAGTAGTAATCAGTCCCCGTAAGTCCAATCCAATGTATGACTCTTAGAATGATGGCCATGTACAAAAGGCAATCACTGATTACAGCAGTTGATCCACACTGCCATCACCAAATTCTATGTATACATTGCCATTGTTGAAGATATATCATTGCCCAAGAAAATGTTAAAGGTTACAAAGATTTTCTTCAATTATGCAATTTCAAGAGTAAATAGGACTTATTAATTTAGGAAGTCTTTACTTGCACCAAATAAAAATCAATGAATGAAACTGGTCTTTAATTTGAAAGCGTTCACTTAAATTACTTCAAATTAAAAAATCAATTAATAATTAGATCCTGAAAGTAGGGCTGTAAACGAGCCCAGCCGAGCTTTGGAGTGTTCCTGCTCAGCTCGTCAAACTCAAGGTTGTGCGCCAGCTCGGCTCGTGCTTGATCGAGCTCTTCCAAACAATGATCGACCTCAGTTTGACAATGTTTGAACATAATCGAGCTCAGCTCGATTGCTCATATATAAGAGCAGAAAGGTGGAGAAAGATGGACTGAGAAATTTGCAAAAATCAGAGAAAAACTGAAAGAGATATACAGCAACCACATGGAAATCAAAGCATACAATACGTGTGCATATATATGTATATATATATATATATAAGAGCGGGGAGAAAGATAAGAGAAATTTTCGAAAACAGAGACAAAAAGGAAGAGATATACAGTAACCTACATGGAAATCAATTGGTTTGCTATCGTGAAGGAGTGTTGTCGGCATTTTTATCGCCGACCGGTGGTTACCGGTTCGTGTTGCGCGTTGTTTGTACCGCATCGTCGTCGTCGACGATTTTGCTGCTTGGGAATGTTGCAGGTTAGGTCGTGGAAATGTCTGACGGGAAGATGAGAATGATTAGCCATATGGGTTAAAAGGCTATGGGCCTGATAGTAGTTGGGTTGGACTGGTTTGGGCTGGGTTTACTTATGAATATAAATGAAAATAAATTGTCTTTAAAAGAAACACTACATATGAGCTTCGGACTCATAGTTATAAAATTTAATATCTATATATATATATAATATAATTCTATATATTGACGAGCTTAAAACGAGACTATTAGCCAGTTTGTTCACCAACATTGAGTCGAGCTGGGAGCGTTTGAAATTAGCTCGTTAATAATCAAACATCAAAACTTGTTTGAATTCTGTTGGTTTATTAATTAAACAAACATGAACTCAGCTCTTAACGAGTTGAGTCATATTTAGATGAAAGAGAGAGGAATTAAAATGGAGATATATATATATATTTTCTGATGGTCATTTTGTGTGTGTGTGTGTGTGAGAGAGAGAAAGAGAGAGAGAGAGAGTTCGGTTGAAAATAATAAGGGTGTGGGGACAGTTTTATACTTCAAAATTTTTATGCATACAGAATGAAAAAAATAATAATTTTAGGACTCTTCCTTACTCTGTCAAGGTCTTTGCCTTCAATTCTGTCGCAACATCCGGAGTTTGAGAGTTTTGGCTCTTCTAATCTCGTTTCAATCGAGAGTTACGAGTGTGGTACCATGGATTTGGGGGTCTTATGTGTTATATTCTTCAATTCTAGAACCATAAATGATCAAGTCTGAGTACAGATTCGAAAGATATCAAACAATTAATGTAGAATAATAAATAAATAAATAATAAGTTAAAGGGAACTAAATAATAAATTCTCAAATTTAATAAATAAATAATCCTCCAAAATAACTTATTCGATCCTCTGATACCATTACAACTCGAGAATCCATCATGTGGACCCCTACTCAAATCCAAACTGAAATAACTAAAATGAAATAAATCAAATAACGAAAACATGAAGGAGAATCCTATGTAGAGCCGGAAGAATGAATGACTGTCTCTGCTCAGCACAAATAACCTTGAAGTCTGAAATTGACAAATACCTGAAAATAATAGTGGGTCAGGCTCACAAACAAGTTCTACTCTACTACAGTCCAAACAAAAACCCGATAAACATATACATCCTAGTCAACTTAACAATAGTTACGTAATCCGTATATATATATATACACACACACACACACTAAAGGATTCTCACTGGACTACAAGGCAGTCTCAACCTGACTAGTAAGCAATATGCAAAAACGCACATGAAGTGGGTATAAGTGCCTAGACCTAACAAGGTACACCACTAAGTATCATAATCCAACTATGCATCTTATTACATATACACTCCCTAACCATCAATCCTGGGACTCAAGCTCATATCGTAACATATATCTATACACATATAAATCCATCATACCCAAAACATAAAAATAAACCAAGTATATCATCAAACTATTTTGTTGACTTGACACGAATATAAGTAGGACTTAACTCGTCAGTTAATCCGTTCCCTTATAAATTCAAATAGGTAGGACTTAATTCATAAGTTAATCCATCCCTAATATGCCCCCATCCCATAATGGTACATTTATGCACAATATAACCAAATAAAGGTTTCAAATCCCAAAGATGATGTAAGTAGTACATTGACATTTAATCATCCAAATAAACATGATTTAAATCACGTTATACATCATTTGCATTTTAATTTGAGCAAAAATAACAATTCTAAATAACATGCATTTAAATTTCATAATAAGAAATTAACATGTATTTCAATTAAATTTGTACCCATTCATAATCTGATTAAATTCATTTAAATCTAAACAGTTGAAGAAGAAAATAATAATAATAATAATTTAATCCTACCATATTCAACCGTTAATTTAATCTTTTTAAATAAATTAAATTTCATACTTACCATGTGTATTTTAAATCAATAAAATATTTAAGTTTAATTACATTCACATCCCCTGAAGTTTGTCTTATTGACAACCAGATGAAAGTTAGCCCATTTTTGAACAATGACACCCTCTCTAAAAAATTTGACCCAAACAGGCTCTTAAAAGTGGAAAAAGACGATATTACCCTTCAATAAAATATGAATTTTAATATGAAATATCATAAATTTTAAATGGTGAAATTGCCCTTGTAAAGTTTCTCTCTCTACCTTCTCGTTCAAACCAAGAACTTTCTTCCTCTCTCTACCCTCTCACCTTCATCAAAAATCCACCACCACCCACCGCAACCTCCACCACTACAATATTAATCTCATATTTGTATTTACTTTCCAGAAATAAATTGATTTGGGAATCAAACAAACATACATATATACATACACACACATCCCCATTATGTATCTCCAATCCAATTCAAACCCATCTACGTCAAGCTCTTCAACAATCCTCCTATACTGGTGAAAAAAAATAGCATTTAATTCCTCCTTTACTCCGTTGATCCTCCTCCACACATGCTAACCCGAAACCCTAAAATCAAACCAATAAACCTAATCAAACCCATTTGGCATCGCGGTGATGGAGGATGAGGTGGTCCGACAGCGGCGGCGATTATGGACGAGGTGGTATGATGGCGGCGAGGAATATCGATGGCGCCTCCACCATCACCTCATCTGGTTCGCTCTTTTCAAGATTTTGAAACTGCTCCAAAGAAGAGCACTTTGTGTGTGTGTATGTGTTTTTTTTTTTTTTTTTTTTTTTTTTTTTAAGAAAGATGTGGGTCTCTCTTTAAAACCCTCATTGTATATATATGTGTGTGTGTTCTAAAGCTTTTTTTATTTATTTATAATATAAAAAACCCAAGAAGAACTATATATGAAAACAATTTTAATTTCCATTTATATTACATAAGGGATCTGCTTCTAAAATTATGCAGTTTCTCTTTCCATACTAGTAGGATAAAATTGGTTTTGTATCTTCTTTTTCCCCTCCTCTTATTCATTCTCTTTCTATATATATGTGTGTGTCTAAGTATAACGGGAGAAGATGATATATATATATATATATATATATATATATATATATATATATATTCTGAAGAGGTTAGTTTGGCATATTAAAATTAATTAGAAGGTTAAACTGATAATTTTAGCATTCTAATGGGTCAATTGACAAGTCAAAAGGTTTTCTAGTCATTTTATCACATGTTAGAATGCTAAGGGGTGTTTTTGTCAATCGGAGTAAACTTGAGGGGGTGTTATTGTTTAAAAATAGGATAACTTTTATTTGGTTATCAATAAGGCAAACTCTAGGAGGTGTGAGTGTAATTAACCCAAATATTTAATACAGATCCATTAATCAAAACCACACACATCCTTTTATTATCCCATAATTAATTACATTAGTTTTAACAATATTTAATTCAAACACATGAAAAATAATTTCAGATTTTATAAATATGAGAAAATCAACACAAATCTAATTATAATCACATGAACAGTAATTTCAGATTTTATAAACGTGAGAAAATCAATACAAACCTAATTATAATCACAAGAACACTAATTTCAAATTTTATAAACATGTGAAAATCAACACAAATCTAATAATTATAATCACATGAACATTAATTTCAGATTTTTATTCATGCAATTATATCCAATTTATTTAATTAAATTCCTAAAACAAATCTAGTATGTATAAATTATGAATCAAGGGAAAGAAAAGAAATAAAGCTTGCCTTAAGGATTTTCTTGATTAAAAAATTCTAGCCGCCCTCACTATTCCTATTTTTCTTCCACGGACTTAGCCTATATAGATATATAATATATATATATATATAAAATAAAACCTAATCCTTTATTAACTATATTACTAGCAGCCACACCATATCACTACCCATCAATTACACCCATATATATATATAATATAACAATAAACCAAAGTTACTACACCAACAATGCACTGTACGTCAGCCCACACTTTAATGGTATATATATATATACATCAAACTAAAAAACAAAAATTTCTTTTACACACAAAAGCTACAGGACAAAAATATATAAATATATTTTAAGTATATAAATATAAATATATATATATATATATATATATATGTATATACACACATATATATACATTTAAGTTACTAAAAACTAAAATAACTAATAAAATAAAAAGTATTAATAATAATTAATAAATAAAATAATCATATATATATATATATGTAAACTATCTATAAATAATTATTCGTACTCATTACTCTTCCTATTCAAATAATTCATAAGACCTAACTGATTGGCTCATCATTACCATCCAAGTCCAACTTTTTTAAATATAAAATAAAAAATAAATATTTAAATCTTAACAATTATAACAATTAAATTACACATCATAAATTAACAAATAATTCAATTAAATCATTTAAAATCAAATAAACTTACAAAATACATTTAAACACTTAATCAAATAATCAATTCACAAAATACATTTAAACACATAAACAAATAATTAATTAAATAATCTAAAAATATAAATAAAATAATTAAATAAATATAGAGACTACTTTTTAAAAAATGAGTGTATTGCAATATGTTTGGATTTTGTTGCTTTCTTTTTTATTTCTTGGCCGCTATTATGTGTATGGATTTTTGAGGGATCTGCTCTTCTTGGGGGATCCGGAGTCTTGTTCTTGGAGGGTTCATTGGGACATTACTTTGATCCTTGTTCCGACTTTGTTTTGTGCTTTGGCCTTTCCGATATGTCTCCTTTTCACAATTTTTCTCTATCTCGAATGGTCCTTAATCATCTAATTATTTTTTGGGTATTATGGTGGTGCATGGTTCCTTTACCTTTTTCTGTCTCCTTTGGTTATGCGGGGTTTTTTGATCTATCTATATGGTGGCCTTTTGGGTGATGGTGGTGTGAGTTGGTGGTGGGCTGAGGTATGGTTTGATTCGGCATTCAGGGGTTCAATTGGGTGGTGCTGTTGCTGGTTGTGGAGGGTTCTCTCGGCTCGACGGGCTCTGATCGGGATTACACAGG